TCTATAAGCATAAGTGTATAGGCATATATATATATAGATTTCGTTGCCCTTCTTCAGTCCTTTCAATTATGTCTGATTCTTTGTGACCCTATGTGGGGTTTTGTTGGCAAGGACACTGCTGTGGTTTGGCATTTCCTTCTCCACCTCATTTTATAGAACAGGAAACTGAGGCAAGGCTGGATGTGAACTCAGGTCTTCTTGACTCCAGGCCTGGCACTCTATCCACTGCACCACCCAGATGCACCATATACATACATAAGTGCCTATAAAAATGAGGGTGTATTTCAGTTCCAAATATATATGTATATTTGGAACTGAAAATAAAAAATAAAAATGAAATAGTATTTTTAAAAGTATGTGAAGATTCAAACATGTTATCCACTCTATATTACCCATTACCCATATAAATAATATATATTTATAGATAAATGCTATGTAAACATTTTTCTATATATAACAAATTTACATAAATGTTATTTATATAAACAAATTTATATGTCATTTATCTATCAATACATGTACACACATATATATGAATATGTGAGTATATGAGTATAACTGTGTGTGTGTGTGTGTGTGTGTGTGTGTGTGTGTATGTGAGTGTACAAATATGTTGTTATTGTTGATCAGTCTTTTTCAGTCGTGTCCAACTCTTCATAATCTCATTTGGAGTTTTCTGGGCAAAGACACTAGAGTTGTCATTTCCTTCTCCAGCTCATTTTACAGATGAGGAAACTGAACCAAACAGGGTTAAGTGACTTGCCCAGGGTCACACAGCCAGGAGGTGATGCCAGATTTGAACTCAGGAAGGGGAGTCTTCCTGACTCCAGACCCAGCACTCTATTTATTTCACCACCTAGAGGGAGATATCGGAGTAACATCTAGACTCATGATTTCACTGGTTCAGGGAACACCTGTTATGGAAATTTCTGCCAATGTAGTTTACCACTTATCTGAAATTTATATTCTTAGAAAGGCACCTGGGGCACTAAAAACTTCAGTGACTTGCCATTTACCACACTAGTCTGCTTCTGGGGCAGGCCACGAATCCAGATCTTCCTGACTTGAAGGTCAACCTTCTATCCACTACACCACATTGCCTGTCACAGGAGTCTTGCAAATAGTATACATTTAATTAATCAATAACAACAACAACAATAATAATATCTAACATTTATCTAATGCTAACTATGTGCCAGATACTGTGCTAATAAGCCCTTTATAATTATTATCTCATTAGATTGCTGTTCTTCAACAACCCTGGGAAGTAGATGCCATTATTTTTCCCATTTTACAGATGAAGAAACTGAGATAGATAGCGATTAAGTGACTTGCCCAGGGTCACATGAGATTCCTGAACAGAGGCGTGATCTTGGAAGAGCATGTGGAAGAAGGATCAGGTATGGGGAGATTCATAGCAGGAAGACCAATTACGGAGGATACTACGGTAGTCTCAGTGAGAGGTGACAGTGTCCTGAGGGAAGAGAGAAGAGGGCAGATGGAATATATGGATATAGACTCAAAAAGACTTGGCAACCAACCGCACCTGGTAGGAAATGAGGGTGAATGAAGAGCTTTACATGACTTAGAGGTAACGAATCTCAGTAACTAGAATGTTGGTGGAATCTGACAAAAATAGAGAAGTTTAGACCATAAAAAAAAAGGCAGTTTTATAGGGGAGAACAATTAATTCCCTTTTGGACAAGTTGAGTCTGAGATGCCAATGGGAATTCTACTTCCAAATGGGCTACCAGGTAGTTAGTAATGACAGGGCTGGAGATCTCAACTCAGGAAAGAGTCTTGGAACCACTGGTATATTGTTGATAACTGAACCTGGAGATTCAATTAAGATAAAATCCTGGAAAGCAGGCAGAGAAAGACAATAAGAGGGCCTGGGCCTTAGCCTTGAGGAACACTCATTCCAAGAAACAGAGAAGGCAGAGCAAAGAGGGTTCAATCTCAGAAAAACAGAGATGAAATGGTATACAGGAGGAGAAGATGGGCAACAGTAACAAATGCTGCAGAGATGTCAGGAAGTATGAAGATTGAGGAAAAGCCATCAGAAGGAAGAGACTGCTAGCTTTGGAGGGAGGGAGCAATTTCAACTGAGTAATGAGGTCAGAATCCAGACTGGGGGAAGAGAGGAAAGCAGAGAGAACATGTGTAGCCACGGTGAAAAGGAAGAGAGATAGAGAATGCTATCTGGAGAGGAAGACAGGGTCAAGCGAAGCATTTTTTAAGCCTGTTTGTAAACCTGTTTGTAGGCAGTGGGGAAGAAGGCAGTCTGAGATGTAGGATAGGGGCTTGACAGGGGTACGATCTCTCTTTTTTCAGTAAAGTATATGGTGAGGCCCGAGAAGGCAGTAAGAGAGAAAAGAAAAGGGAATATAAAATGATGAAAAAACAAAAGGCTTAAAAATATCTGTTGTGGGGAATGCGATAAAGAGTAAAAGAATTGACTTGCCGCAGGATGAGCCAGTCGAGAGTAGATAAATCTGTATCGGACTCAGTCAATCTGGCTGGAGGACTTCCTATAGCACTGTTCAGCCACATATAAGGAGGAGGTAGAAGGTAGGAGTTACATGAGTGTGGGGTTTGGTGAGGCAAGACCAAACTACTGGACAGGAAGGCAGGAGACTCAAGAGTAGAGAACAGTAAAAAGCCAAGGAGGGAGAAGGGAAGATAGCAAAGTTACAGCTGGAAAGATGGCCTGGAAAGACACTGAGAGGTGGGGGCAATGGAGTCATGCTAGAAGAAAGGATGATGGGGCAATAAAGAAAAGTGAGGCATGAGGAAAGATGGATGATGGGAGGCTATGATTGGATAAAATCTGGAATTTGATCACAGGAATACAACATTTGCAGGCGATGGTAAGACTAAAGGTTTACACAGATTTCTTAAAAATGCACTGCATCATCTAAGACATCTCCAAAGGCCTCATGATGGAAAATGCTATCCACATCCAAAGAAAGAATATGAGTTTGAATGCAGATCGAAGCATGCTATTTGCTATTTTTTTTCTCTTCTGTTGTGTTTTATTTCCTCCTTCTAGTGATTCTTCCTATTGGTTCTAATTCTTACTTACAACATCACTAATGTGAAAGTGTTTAATAGGAATATATATGGATAGCCTATATCAGATTGTGCACTGTTTTGGGGGGGAGGGGAAGATGAAGGGGGAGAAAAATTTAAAACTCAAAAGCATATGGAAGTGATTGTTGATAAATAAAAGTAAACTAATTTTTAAAAATGCACTGCATCAATTGACACCACATGATCTTTGGATATTTTCTTAAATATCAACCCTCCTACTGTTAACTAGAAGGTAAGGGTGCCTGCTTGCAGAACGGGTAGATGAATCCCCTCAACAAATTTTCACCAGTTTCTCACATACTTAATCCATACTATAATGATTATATGTGAATGTAGCAAGCATCGGAGAAAAAAAGTCAAGTTTGAGAAGCATAAAATACATTTTCATTTTCCATAGCTAAGGTAAGACTAATTCCAACAGGCTAGGGAAAACCCTATGAGGCCTTTAGTGCTGACCTTCCAAGATCCCCTCTGGTCTAGTAAGAACTGTTTAAAAACAAAAGGATTTTTCTCTCTTAGGTCAGTGACCACTAGGCAAATACAGTTGCTCTAAGTGATCAGACACCCCCCACAGTATACCCATCACTTAACTAAGCTCATCTGTATGTCTGGCCTAAAAAGTGAGCCAAGCCATAGAAAATTAGATCAGACATTTCAACAGCCAATTCTCAGTTATCTGGTATAACAAGAGAATAAATGAGGGAGAAGCCAGCAATCACTAAAAATACCAATAATGAAAAGCACATGCTATTAACATTTTTTTGTGTTATGAGGCACTTTGGCAGTCTTGGTGAAGTCTAAGGACCCCTTCTAAGAATAATCCTTTCAAATAACTGAAGAAATGATAAATTTCAGTTGGAGGTTAGTGAAAAATGAAGATGTATTTTTTTTTCATATCCAAATCCATGGATTCCCTGAACTTGATAAGCAGGAGTTGGTGACCCTCAGGTACAAACCCTCTCTAAGATGAGTGTCTTAGCATCAGCTCAGTCATAAACATACATCTTTCTTTCACAATTAGTTTGTATATCTGATGAGAGAATATCTCAAGCATACCGGGACAAAAGTTTTCCTCTTATGACCTGAATCTCCCATGCATGCACACTCTAACCTCACACGGACTTGGATCTTTTTCCTCCCCAAGGATACTGGGAAAACCATCCAAGAAAATCCTTTTTTGATTTCTCTCCCTTGTTGGAGAGTACAACTGGTACCAAGGAAAGTTAAAAACAAACCTAATGAAGTCATCTTCTGTCTGATAACCCCCAAATTTCGACTGTTTTTAATGATATTTTTCAATTAACAAGCATTTATTTTCTCTCCCATCCACTGAAAGAAAAAAAGAAAAAAGAAAAAACAAAACCCTTGCAACAAATAGGCATAGTCACGCAAAATAAATTCCCATATTGATAGTGTCCAAAAATGAGTCTCACTTGGGATCTTGGGTCTGTTATCCCTTTGTCAAGCAGTTGGTAGCATTTTTCTAGATCCTCTAGAATCATGGTTGATCATCTCACTAATCAGAGTTCTTAGGTCTTTTGAAACTATTCATTTTTAAAATGTTGTCATCATATTATAAACTGTTCTCCGGGATATACTCACTTCACTCTGCTCCAATTCATACAAGTCTTCCCAAGTTTATCTGCAACTACCCCCTTTATCATTTCTTACAGTACAACCATACTGCAATGCGCTCATATGTCATAACTTGGTTAGCCATTCCCCAACTCATAGGTATCCCTTCAGGTTTTATCTCTTTGTTGCAACCACAAAAGAACTTGAACAAATATGTTTGTGCTTATAGAACTTTTTCGTCATTCTTTGATCCCATTTAAAGAACAAATTTAGACTTGGTTTTCCTTCCTTCCTTCACTTTCATATCACCAAATGGAGAAATGATTACTTACTGGTTAGATGCCCAGTCCACCAAGTCTCCTCCATCTGTAAGGAGGTGGTTTTTTTCCGGTCCAGGGGAACTACTCAAAATGGCAGGTGTAGGAGAGTGTGAAGAAAGTGAGTCCAAGCTGCCCGTTGGGGTGTCCTCTTTGGGAGGGCTAGGATTGTCAGCTGAAAGAAATAAAAGGGAGATGAGGATTTAAAGAAATGCTATTTTTAAAAAAAAAGGCACACCACTAACAATCAGACAGAATTACTTGATTAGTCAATCAAACTTCATCTTAAAATTGCATTTATAATTCAGGCTGTGACTATTTGGGTCTCCTGTCTTAAGTGATGGTGGTTGTTTTTGAAACCAAAGACTCCTAAAATAAAACCATCTGAAATGTGCAAAGGAAGAAGTATTCTCTCATAAGATAAAACACTAATTAAAATCCAATCGGATGAAAACTGTGTGGTCTTTACCATGGCCACAATGATGCCCCAATCCATAAGAAGGCAACAGCTATGTGCCAATGAAAACCTCATGGGCAGTAGAGGACAGAGAAGCATTCCTGTGGCCGGGCCTTCATTTCCTTGTTATTTGATAGCTGTCCAAGCTACTCCCAGATCAGACGTTTGCACACAATCACATTAAGAAACCATAAGGCCCTTCAAGTTCATACTTTTCATCTTAGATCCTCACTCCATCTCTCAATCATTAAAAGTTCCAAAATACAGATAAATCTCTTATATCCCCTGTGAACCCTGAGGAAGGATGTTACAAAAGGCTAGGCTACTACAATGACTAGGAAGGAAAGCTAAGCCCAAACTGAATAATATTTTCAAGACACATAGGCTCAAGGAGGATCATTTTATTAAAAATATTTATGATTATTTATACACGTTGTGGGCTTGAATGAACTCAAAGGATGGAAAACAAATCAATCAGTTTTTTTATCTGCTCTCTAAATAAATGAAAATGCATTTTTTTAATTTTTACTAATTTATTCTGATTTATCTATAATCACTTCCATAAGCTTTTGAGCTTTAAAATTTTCTCTCCCTCCCTAAGATGGCTCGCAATCTGATATAGGCTCTACATACACATTCCTATTAAATATATTTTCACATTAGTCATGTTGTAAGGAAGAATTAGAACCAATAGGAGGAACCACAAGAAAGAGGAAACAAAACAAAAGAAAAATAATAGCAAATAGTATGCTTCAATCTGCTTTCAAACTCCATAACTCTTTCTTTTTGGAGATGTCTTAGATCCTTGCATTGCTGAGAAGGGCTAAGTCTATCAAATGAAAACGCATTTATTGAGCACTTACTATGCACCAAGCACAGTGCTAAATATCAGGGATACAGCTTACTCTACACTTAGAAGACAGCTTCTGCTCTCAAGGAGCAAGTGGAAAAGATAATCCGTTAACCCGTGAGCTCCTCAAGGACTGTCTTTTGCCTTTCTTTGTATCTTCAGTGCTTAACACACTGCCTGGCACACAGTAGGTGTTTAATCAATGTTTACTGACTGAGTGATGACATATGTGGAAGAGGTCAGTTGCAGGGCAGACAGAAAGGCCTGGAAGTTCTAAAAGGCAGCTACAAGGACAATGGCAAGGCCCAAGAGTCTTTAGAATGCTCCTGGAAACCCATCAGGAAGTAGGAATGGGCCTAATGGTCATGATAGAAAAGAATTTCTGGGATCCTTCCAGCAGGAGTGATGAGGAGGAGGATATTGAGAGTTAGTGTTCTGCTAAGATGGGGAAAGGAAAAGGGAAAGAGAACTTAGGCAGGAAATTTGGGGATTGATTCCGAGGCATTCTTACAACCACCACAGCCTTTAGAACAGACTCATAGTACTCTGAACCCTGATCCAAATCCACATTTTTCCTCCCTTATTGTTTATTCACAGAACACAAGGACCTAGCACTATGGACATGTTTTTTTTTTTCAGCACAGGAACTTTGATAACAGTTTGGAATCAGTTTTAAGCCTGGTTCACAATCGAAATATCTCACCTGGTAACCAACAAACTGGTGGGGAGAAACACATCTGCCTAGACATGGGTCATGGTTATAGAGCACACATGAAATCCAAGAATTACAAGGCCCATGACCACAAAAAACCAAACACGGAATTAAAACTTCACTGATGAGGTGAGGAATAAAAATACTGGAAGTTATATCTTAAGATGCTCCAGTCGCCAAAGGGCTACAAAGGATTCTCACTCAGCCTCCTGTCCTGGTTCCAAAATACAGCCTAAAATTCTGTACTTTCCTAATCCCTGTCAGATCCCCCCTGCCTAACCACCGAACCATCAATGACAGGGCCATTTCATGGACAAACATGGCAGAATTAATAATAGATCTACAACTAGAATAGAAAATCTTGAATGATGACTAGTAGTATTCAGGCAGAGGTGTCGTGCTAAACATTTAACAACTGACTCCTCCACCCCCCCCAAAAAAAGTATGTCCTTGCAATTCACTTTTAAGTTCAATCTTTCTCTGTCTTTTTTTTTAAAGTCTATACAATGAACAAGACAATAAAGCAAGCCCTTGTTTTTATTTTAGCATTTGCTAAGATGCAAATGCTCACACTGAAAATTTAGCATTTAGCTCTGATAAACTGGTTCATGTTAGCTTATGATTGGGGGGAAAAAGATGTTCTGGGGGGCCAAGCAGCATTGGTTGATAGAAATCTAGCCTTAGTCACGTAAGAACCTGATTCCAATTCTGCCTCAGACACATACTGGCTGTGTGATCTTGGGCAGGTCACCTACCCTTTCACTGTTCCAGGACACTCACTAAGGGACCACCTTCACGAGTGTCAAAATGGAGAGAATGCTGGTCCTGGGTTCAGATTCTGTCTCAAACACTTACTAGCTATTTGACCTGTCTCAGTTTCTTTAACTATAAAATGGGGATACTTCCCAGGGTTGTTGTGAGGATCAAATGAGATCATTTTTGTAAAGCATAATGCCTGACACATAGTAGGCATTATACAAATTCCAGTTATTCTTTAACATTATTATTATTATTATTATCATTATCATTATTATTATTATTATTATTATTACGTTGTTGCCATTGTACAGGATGGGCAAATCTGTGTTGATGAAAGTTCTCCATATCAGATGGAATTACAAGTCTGGTCCAAAAAAAGAGGGGGAGAAAGAAAAAAAGAGTCTCCATGGAGATGGTGAGGCAGGGGGGTCAAAGTGAACGCTCCCAATGGGATCCAATAATCATTTTATTAAGCATCCACAATTTGTAAGGCAGAGAGCTGGGTGACAACGATACAAAGACAAATTAAAACAGTCCCTCCCCTCAAGGAGTTTACATTCAATGGGAATTATACACAATAAATGCCAGTTGATCTCAAGACAAGAGAGCACTAAAGACTCAGGAGAGGGAACAGGGCTTAGGAGGAGCCCTGAGTGGGAGATAAGCTCTGCTCTGAAGGGTGATGGTGATTTTAGGAAAAAGAAGGAAAATTTTAAGCAGGAATACCATGAATATGGATTGAGGTATTTTTTTTAATGAGTTAGGGTTCAGAAGAAAGATAGACTCAATGAATGGAAAGGGCCTGATCCATGGAAGTCACCCATGGAAAGCCCTGAAATTCATCTTAGGACATCACCACCATAGGCAGAAACAAGGGAGTAGTTCCCCCAGCAAGAGTCACTTTTTCCACAGCCCTTCACCACAAGAAGCTTTAGCTAATTCGTGTAATTCAACTCCCCAACAAAAGAGCCAATTTCCAGGCAAATCAACCAGAACCCACTGATTGACCACTGTTAGGATTCCTTCTGATTTATTTTCTTTTTTGAACTTGGTCCACCCACCCAGGAACAAAAGGACTGTATCTTTCTCTGCTTTGTGACAGCTCAGCCTTAACCAGTGGTCTTTTTTTTTTATTAATTCCCTCCCTCACCAAAGAGGCGCAGGGAGCAAACACCGCTTTCTCAGACCTCTCTTCCCCCTCCCCCAGGAATCAGGGCAGTTGGATTTCCTCAGGACACAGAACAGAACAGGAGCACATAATCTCCACATTCACCTGCAGTACAGCTGTTCATCTGAGGCCGCTCGGGATGGCTTGGCCAGATGCAGCAAAACCTAACGGGTTTTTGAGGCAGAGCAGTGCTAACCTCAAGTATGAGTCAGACAGAATCTAGCCAGATGCTGCTCCTTCCAACAGCAGCTCCTGGGTTTCAGTGGGATGGGAGCCGGTCTCCATTAATCTTCAGATGCTGCCTTCCCTGTCTGCAGAGCACGACCCAGCACAAGCAGTGAACACAAGGGGCAGGACCCACTAAGGCACTGTCTCATTACAGCAAAGGAGAAGCCCGTCGGAGGCAAACAGGAACTCGTGGAGAGCAGAGAGCCCCGGACGCTTTAAAAAGGAGATATGCTAACCTCCACTCCACACGTCCCACCCCCATTCCACCCCCACTCTCACTCCCACTCCACAGAGCTCTTTCCCAGCACACTGACACAGCACAAATTGCCATTCAGCATCTTAAATCATGTCCTATTAGGAGGATGCCTGCCAAACCTCAGCCATCAGAAGCCACCAAGTGAAAATGCCATCTGTAGAAGCGCATATATTTATGCAGACAGACCAAGCAGAAAGATGGTCCCCAACACACTTCCTAAGTGAAGACAATGTTGCTTCCTTCCTGCCGTGTAGGAATTAATACAGACTGAACACAAGCACAGAATCCAGGACCACATCAAAACCCATAGGGGTGTGTGTGTGTGTTCATGTATGTATATATGTATGCATGCGTATATCTATATCTCTATACATACATACATACATACACATATATAAATACACACACACACACACACCCCCGAAGTGACAGTAACGATTTAATTTCCATTTCTGGTATTTAGTCCTTTAAAAAAGATCGAAGTAAATTTTTTAAAAACAAACAAAAACTAATTTTTTTTTAATTTTTCATTTAGAGCACTCCAGGATTTCTTGACTTAAAAAAAGCAACACAATTTTGTAAAATAGGGGAGATCAAGGCACTGGCTATGTGACTTTGGGTATGCTGGTTCATGTACCTTAGCCTCAGTTTCCTCACATATAAGATGAAGCTTTAAAGTTCCTCCCAGCTCTATATCTATGATTTTAGGACACCAATCATCAGTTCTATTGATATTCTACACTAA